CTCTCTGTCTTTCTTTGGTCAAATTGAATAATAATAATAATAAAACAACTAATAAAATAAAATAAATAATTCTTTAAAAAAAGAATGGCTGTTGTGAAAAAAAAACAGAAAATAAGTATTGGTAAGATGTGGATAAACTGAAACCTTTGTGCACTGGTTTGGGGAATGTAAATTGCTATCGCCACTTTAGAAAACAGGATGGCAATTCCTCAAAAAATTAAAAACAGAATCACCATATGATCCAGCAATTCCACTTTTGGATAGATAGAAAAAAAAAAAACTGAAGCAGGCTCTCAAAAAGATGTTTGTATATCCATGTTCATAGCAGGATTATTCACAATATTCAAGAGATGGAAGCAACCCAGAGTCCATCAATAGATGAATAAGTAAACAACATGCATTTTAGCCATACAAGGGAATATTATTCAGACTTTAAAAAGGTGGAAATTCTGAACAGTTTCATAGCCTTGTGGTTATGGCCAAAGTTTGAACTGAGCCCAGTGGCTTGAAAAACACTGCGGGCACATGTATGTGCATGCCCAAAACCCTGACAGGATGGAGAAATGGAGGAGAAAGGATTGTATTGTGACTATACTCAATTAGGGAGTACTTTTCCCCCTCCTCCTCATCTCTCTCTGGAAAGCACACATGCCCTCTGACAATTAGGAAAAAATATATAAATAGGAAGGAAATTCTGACATGTTACAACATGGATGAATCTTGAGGGCATTATGCTAAGTGAAATAAACCAGGCACAAAAGGACAAACACTGTATGATTCTACTTATATGAAATACTTGAAGTAGTCAAATTCATAGAGATAGAAAGTAGAATGGTGGTTGCCAGGCGCTAGGGAGAAGGGAGCATTAGGAAATTATTTGTAATGGGTTCAGAGCTTCAGCTTGGGAAGATGACAATTTCTGGAGATGGATAGTGGTAATAGTTGCATAACATTGTGAATGTACTTAATGCCACTAAACTGTACACATGAAAATAGCTAAAATGATAAATCTTATGCTCTGTGTTCTTTCTCACAATGAAAATGCAAGTGAAAGAAAACATTCACTTTATGTGCTTTAACTGAAGAAACATAGGTGCCACTGTATGTCCCTGATATTTCAGTCTTTCAGCTCTTCCAGGAAAACTGGAAGCTGGTGAGATTTGGAGGTAGGGAGAGGGATAACCCTCTCCTTCTTTATCCCTTACATGTTTAGTTGTCTGATAATACTTCTGTCCTATCCCCACCTATAGAATGTGTCTTTTGAGAAGGAAAAATGAGAAAATTTTCATGAGTAAGCCTTCCTCAGAAGAGCCAGAACAATCTGGGCATTTATGTTCAAAACAGTATACCTTCTTGGGTGGAAGAGACCCCCACATCTGAAAGGATTTGCTCATACAGTTTTTCCTCTCTTTTTTAAGTATTTATTTTATTCATGATAGAGAGTATATGTGGATGCACAAGAGGTAGAGGGGCACTCTGGATAGAGTCTCATCACATCACAATCCCCTTTCCTCAGCCCTCCAGCTTGTCAGGATCTTGGGCACAAGTGCATGTGCAGCAAGTATTTTTTTTTTTTCGTTTTTTTGAGAGGTTTTTGCTATAGGGTGAGTGCGCTCTCCAGAAAGACAGAGAAAGACAAAGAGACAGAAAGTGAGAAGTCACCCTCCAGGGGGAATGGCCACACCACAATCCTTTCTCCTCCATTCTCCTCTTGGGATCTTGGGCACGCACGCACATGCACACAGTGTGAGTTTAAGCCACTGGGTCCAGGACTTGAACTGCAGTTGACTACATGGGAGTCCAGCAACATAGCCATTACATTAACTGCTGGTCCCCACAGCATGTGTTTTCAAGCTTACCTAGGGATATGAACCCACAGTCAGCCACATGGTTTCCAGCACTACATTTCAGTTTACTACTGACTGTGCCATCAAACTGGGCCAGCTTGGCCTTTCTTGACCCTTTTCTCCTGCTTGCTCTACCCTATCTTTGCCCACTCTTTCTGGGATCAAGATTCAAAATGATGGTTGCCACCATGATACCAAATCTCTTAGGATATTCCTGTGCCTCTCACTTTCCTAGCTGAGGGCTGGAAATTATCAAAGGGGTCTTTTTGAAAAAGTTAAGGTAAGCACAAAGGTAAATAAACAGAAACAATGAAAGACTAGAAATAAATAAGTTTACCAAAATTATTTCTTCCTTCTCTTGACAACTAAAGTCAAGGCATTGATGGGCTCACTATTATTTGATTTTTTTTTTAATTATTGGAAAAGAAAAAGAGAGAAGCACTGTTAACAGGGTCTCATGCTGTGATCTCTTCCAGCCAGCCAAGATTATGGGTGCCACATCCAACATGTATAGGTTGATGGGGAAACTAAACCTGGTGATCTTCCATACATATCGAGCATTGCTTGCACAGCATGTTACTCCTGTACCACTGAGCTGGTTTTTATTTGAGTTTTTAAAGTTTATTTCTTCTGGGACCAGCAGGTGGCAAGATGGTTAAGGCACTGGACTCCCACATGGCTGACTGCAGTTCAAGTCCTGGACCTGGTAGCTTGCCTTCTCACTTTCTCTCTTTCTTTCTCTCTGATGACTGTACATGCCCTATAGCAAATTTTTAAAATAATAACAATAAATAAAATTAAATAAAAAATTCTTTTTTAAAAAGTTTATTTCTTCCATGCATGAGTGACAGAGAGTTACTTCTACAGGGTCTTGACAACGTGATCCAGATGCATACCCAGTACACCCAGGGAGGTCTCTACATGCAAACCCAGAAAATTCCTATATAGGTCATCCTTGCAGACCATGTGTTTTACTGCTGTGCTACCATCTGGTCATTGACTGGATTTTTTTTTAATTGATTGGATTTTAATAAGGCTTAGGTCTATGTCTTTTGAGGACCATAGGCCCCTCTGGCAGTCTGGTGAAGCCCATGGATCCCATCTCTTGAAGATTTTTAAAATAGGGCAACACTAATTTAGAAAAAGGTCTATTTCAGCTAATGTCAACAATCTGCTAGATGTGTAAACATTAGCTTGACATGTTTATTATTAAAAGTGAACCAATGATTGAATGTATAAAAGAAAATGAAATAAAAAAAGAAAAAAAGTGAACCAAACATTAAGTTGTAAATATATATTTACTTCTGTAGTTGGAGCACTACCAATTGTGACTTAGCACATTTAAATTTGCACACATGAAATAAGAATATAGCAGAACATTTTCTAATGCACAAAATAAAATACATGAACTTAAAATGGAAATTCATTATATTAAAATACAGTTATTGAGACCAGCAGATGGTGTAATGAGTATATCACTAAACTCTCACATAGACAATCACAGTGCTAGTCCTGGACCCAGAGACTTAAAACTCACGCTGGGGGACCAGTCCAGTTAAGGGCACTGGACTCCCACATGGCCAACCGTGGTTCAAGGCCCAGACTTAGCAGATTGCTTTCTCTCTCTCTCTGTCTCTCTCTCTCACTTTGTCACTCTCTGGTCAAAATCAAATCAATCAATCAATAAAGTTAAATAAAATAATTCAAAAAAAACAAAAAAAACCACTCACTGTGTTTGTATGCCCAAAATCTGAAGAGGAGAATGGAGGAGAGAGGATTGCGGTATGGTCATCCCCCCAGGGGGTGATTTCTTGCTTTCTGTCTCTCTGTCTCTCTCTGTTTCTCTGACAAGTGCACACACCCTATAGCAAAAATCTCTCTCTCAAAGAAAAAAATACAACTATCAAAATATTACCAAAAACTGTGAAATATTAGCATATATGCATCATAATTTATGTATTAAATAGTCAGATCTAATGGCAGTTCCCATAACTATTTGAATTTTGAAGTAGTCATGAGAATAAATCAATTTTCAAGATGTCTGTAACAACTATAATACGAAATGCAAATCTCTGTGATGTCTATTATTGACAAAGCCACAGATTTTGCTAACATTTCTGTGGTTTATTATTTATGTTCATCATTGAAAGAAATGCTATATTTCAGTTAGGGATTAGTGAAGATAAAGAGGTAATTGTTTTTCACCCAAATTCAAAGTCCCCTGTGCCTGAGATTTCTTGGTCTATAGGTTCCTGGTTAGAATTTCTGTTATAAGGGGTCATATAGACTCCCATGGACTGGAACCAGATGTCTCCTGCCTGTCCCACCCTCCAGGATGACATTATTTCTCCTCAAGTTTCCAAGCTTACCCTCACAATTGACTGCTCACAAAGCCTTGTTTTTGGCTGGCAATATTTTGGAGCTGTCAGCTCATCTGGCCAGAACTCATGACTACATGCCCTGAGTCCACTGAACAACAACTGGTATTTTCTCAAAGTTATGTCTAAAGTCACTTAATCGGCCCTCAGATTTTCCAGAATTCTCTCACTATAATCTTACACTAGAAAATCACCTTACAACTACACGGTAACACCAACCCCGCAAAACATCACTACTTTGCCCTGTCTCCAAATATGACTCTTCAGTTAGTTCATAGAGGACAATTTCTGAGAAGGCTAGAGTGGTCTTTTAAAAGCGTTTTTTTCTTTATTCATGATAGAGCACATGAGAGAGAGATAGAGAGAGAGAGTGAGAGAGAAATAGAAAGAAACACTCTCCACAGGGTCTGGTTACACAACTCCCCCCACCCCTGCTGGCCCCATCCTCTCATCCTCCAGCCTATCAGATCCTAGGCACTCGCATATGTGCCCAGGATATTTCAGGTAGACCAGGCTGGGTATTCAAAAGATGGTCAACATGTATGATCTGGCTTCTCTTGAGCAGCATATTACCACTATGGCATGGAGCTGGCCCTGGGGTGGTCTTTATACCAGAACAGCACAGCCTCACTCCTGGCCTTGTGCTAGCCCAGTCCTTCCCAAAGGGTGGGAACCAACAAGATGATTTTTTTTGATGAGCCCTCCTCATCTGGGGATGCCTGGCCCGTTTCTTGATCTATTCCCATGTGCTCTCCAGTCCTTGTGGTTCACTCACCTAAAATTATATAGGTTGCAATCCACTGCAAAACAGAGAGAGTTTGGAGGCCCTCCTGAAGGTCTAGTCGGGAGAAGAAGGCCATCGTCATGGTGTTGTTCTGTTGTGGCAAGAAACCCAAACAGAAGGTCAAAACCTCTTAAGCTGAGTTGATCATAGATGCTTTGCTATAATCTTTTATCACTGAGTCTGTTAAGCTGCTAGGATTTTGTCAGGCTTGACCAACCTTTCTTCTAGTTTTCCCTACTTGCTGCCCCGCCCCAACTTCTTACATATGTATCAGGTTGCACACAGATCAGACTGTCCAATCTCCTCAATCTTTTCGTCATGTGTACTCAGTCGCAATGAAGCAGAAATGACCATGGAGTGAGTAACTGTGATTGGAGATGTCTTTGATAAATTAGTGCAGGAAAAGAGATTAGCTTAGATCTCCAGTAAGACTTTTGAAAAGTACTCCACTACCTTTCCCTGCTTAAGAAAGGGGACCTTGGAGCCAGGTGGTGACACAGCAGCAACACAACACTCTGTAAGCCTGACTCATATGGGAAAGTACTAGTTTATGTCCTGAGGTCTCCCTGTACACTCTGGGCACACCTGTGCCCTTGATCCTGACTGACTGTGGGTGAGGGTAGATTGAGGTGTGAGGATCCTGATGGGGATGCCTGTCTCTCTGCTTCTTTCTTTATCGCTCTCTTTCTCTGTATTTCTCTCTCTCATGGAAGAATGAAATAAATAAATAAACTTTAAGAAGAAAAAGAAGAGGAAAATAAAGGAAAGGGAAAGAAAAGAAAGAAAAGGAAAAAGGAAGGTGACCACATTTATTTTGGTAACTCATTGACTGTTCCTATCTTCTACTGAGAGATACCTAGCCCACTAAGACTGTTTTTCAGCATGAATAACTATATTTCTCAGATTCCTCTTTATGTCTCTGTTCTCAGGGGCTTTGCATCAATGATCAGATACCATATGATATAGTGTGAGAAGCACTGCACAGAGAGCAGAACTGGCTTCCAGTCCTAGCTCCACCATGCTCTTCCTATGACACCTTTGGAAACATCTCTATCTCTGTAGAGTTCTGTTTGAAAAGTCATTTTTGGAAGGCAGTGAAGTGGTTAGGGTCATGGACTTGAGAGCCAGACTGCTGGGGTTCAAGTCTCAATTCCATCACTTATAAGCTGGTGAATCTGTATGCCTCAGTTTCCTCATCTATAAAATAGGGATAATAATAGTACCTACTTCATAGAGTTACTCTGAGGATTAAATGAATGAAGGAATGTAAAGTGCTTAACATAGGGCTTAGCGCTCAGTAGACACTATATCAGCATTTTCCCAGGGGGAATGGCCACACCACAATCCTTTCTCCTCCATTCTCCTCTTGGGATCTTGGGCACGCACGCACATGCACACAGTGTGAGTTTAAGCCACTGGGTCCAGGACTTGAACTGCAGTTGACTACATGGGAGTCCAGCAACATAGCCATTACATT